TTTATGAACAGAGATAGTGCAGAGGACATACCAAGGATGGGGAAACCACTTTGCCGAGAGGTAGAAAAAAGGAAGTGTCTTGCCCATCTACTTCCTTGTGCATATTTAGGCTGAGACGTGCTTCATTTATTATAAATGTAAATTGAGGTCAAGGGAGATTGACCGTAACTAAGAATCAGGATATGATTTCTACATTTCTTTGCAAATATTCCAGACCTCAGAAGTTCTTTTCTTGGTGTCATATTAGACCAGCTTTCCTTTGCTCCCTCAACACAAAGAAACTCCAAATGGCAGCTGTGAGAATTTCCCATGTTATTACAGTTAAGTAGTTAAAGCTGAGGTCAGAAGGCAGAGAAAAGTAAGAGGTACAACACGTTAAGCACTAGCGGTTTTATACTAGAAAAGGCTGTGAATGTTCATCCAGGTCTAGGCAGTTGTTGATGCATCTTTGTTTTTAAAAACCCAGGTTCTAAGAATATAATGCAAGTTTTAAAAGTGCATGTGGGTCACATTTTTAGAGCATCTCTGCTCCTAGATGCATGAAGACCAGTGACCGTGGCTTTTCTGCAGACCAGTAATGGATCTTTCTACTTCAAGACCAAATTATTTGCATCCTTCTCAAACCACATGCTTTAGAAGATTTATTTATTTCTGTAACTTGGAGCTAACTGTGCTGATTCTCCAAAAAGTGAACAAGCTGTCCAAGTGTCCTCCTTTTTCTTGCACTCATTCCTGAGGCTTTTTGAGTGGATCAGAGATCACACTAAAAAGCTCTGATCATGAGCTGGTGTATCCAGTTCAGCAGCTAATATATCCCATTTGGGATCACCAATAAGATCACTGTGGACAGATTATGCTGTGCTACCCTGTTAGAATAAGGATAAGGTTTTCAGAGCTCAAGACTGTGTAAAACCACACAGCCCAGCTTTGAGCACTTGCTGAAGAAGGGCTGTTTGGGTGCAGCAGCCAAATGGGTGAGCAGTCTTTCCCTGCCTATTTGGAGTGGAGCAAGGAGTTAGGAGCAGGGCTTTAAAGTAGGAATACTGTACAAGGCAGAGTACAACCCTTATTTTAATGGAGAAAAGCTGAACAAGGGTGGAAAGAAACTGGTGCTGGGTGGCCAGAGCAAAAAAAGAAAGGTGAAACAAGGTGGAGGGGCTTTCCTACAGTCTGAGCAACTGGAACTCTGTGTGTGGTCATGAAACAATAATGTTGTTGGGACAATGGAGGTGTGGAGGGACATCTCTCACTACTGGAATACTCTAATGCATAGGTACAAGCTCTTCGGGTGGAACAGACAGCAAAGACAGCGTGGATTGCCCTCTATGAGAAGGAACCACTTGGATGTGAGGGGCTCTACGGGAAGGATGAGAGCTGCTGGAGAGCTTGTTGGTCAGATTCAGTGGAGACACCAATGGGAGTGATGCTGTGGTGGGAGTGCATTATAGACTACCCAAACACTGTGAATATGGGGATGAGGCCTTCTTAAAGCAACTCAGGGAAGCCTCTGTGTCACAGATCCTGGTTTTCACAGGGCACTTGGACCTCCCTGATGTCTGCTGAAAAGGCAACACAGTGTAATGTAAGCAGTCAAGACAATTTCTGAAGTATGTCAGTGATAACTTCTTCATAAAAGTACAGGACAGGCCAACAAGAATTGGTGTGCAGCTGGCTCTGCTTTCACTACCAAGGAAGAACTGCTTGGGAACATGATGAAAAATGGCAACCTAGACTGCAGTTGTTATGAAATAGTGGAGTTCAAGACCATGAAGGAAGTGAGGAATGAGAACAGCAGAGTACAGACCTTGGACTTCAGGTGAACAGAATTATCCCTTTTCAGGAAACAGGTAGCTGGGATCCCACTGGAGGAAGATCTAAAAAGATAAAGCAGCACAAGAAAACTGCAAGTGCTTTAAGTACAGCAGCCTCTAAGTGCAAAAAAGATCCCTTCTACTACTCAGAGAAATAAGCAAACACATCAGGAGCTCCAGTGTAGGAGAGTGGGGGATGTGAGAAGCAGGGACAGGCTGCAAAACGAAAATTTGGAAGCATTGCCTGGGAATTAGGGTTGGTGTTAGGAATGTTAAAGCTCAGGAGCTGAGACTGACAAGGGAGTCAAGGGCAACAGGGAGAGTTTCTACCACTACACAAACAGTAAAAAACTGAACAAGGAAAACATGGGCTTACTGCTGAATGGGGAGGATGATTTAGTGTCAGTGGACAGAGATAAGGCCAAGACAGTGCATACTTTGCCTCAGTTTCGCCATCAAGATCTCCTATGTCTCTGTGCCTAGACACATCATTCAAGGACAGGGAAAATAACCAGGACTGCATGAGGATGGAGTCAGGGTTTGATTGTGACATCTGAACCTGCCCAAGTCCATGGGACCAGATAGGTGTAATCAAGAGTCCTAAGAGTATTATTGCAAGGCCACAAAGATGGGGTAAGATCTGTGACAACCGGAGAAAGACAGATGTTGCATCCATCTTAAAAAAAGTCCAAAAGGACAGTTTGGTGAACTACAGCTCTGTCATTCTGACTTTGGCCTCTGGGTAAATCAGGGAGCAAGTCCTTGGGAAATATTTTTGGGCACTTGAGGGAGAAGGTGGGGACTGGGAACAGCCAGCCTGCATTTATCAAGGATAAATCGTGACTGACCAACATGGTTGCCTTCTGTAATATAATTACAGTATTTGCAGATAAGAGGAGAGCAGTAGATCTTATTTACATCAACTTTAGCAAGGCTTTTGACACAGTCTTCCACTTCCTGAGGTCCTTTCCAAACTGAACTGTCTTGTGATCCTATGAAACAAGAGCATTAATTGCACAGGGTTGGTTGAGTTTCAGAGCATGTAGCCTGAGTGTACCCCAGTGTGTCAAGGTTCAGTTTGCTTTTGGGCTGTAACACGGAAGCATCAGATGACAGCAGCCACAGGATTGTTTTAGACATCTCTCATCTTGGTACCTGAAGTCGGTCTCCAGGGTGTTACAAAGCATCCATGTGCAAGGATTATTCTTTTACAGTGTTACACAATATAAAATTTTTCTAATTAACTGATGAAAGAAAGACTGTGTTTGACCTACATGACAGCTTCAAGAAGTGCGTTTCTGATACATTTGGTATGCTCTAATTATTTGAGCATTAGGAAAAAACTTGCAACAATATATGCTATCAACGAGGTGTATTCATGAGAAGAGACTCCACTATCATGTCCTTAACTTTGTGATATAAAAAGGGTGAAAAGATGTAAAAGGTCCTAATAGTTGAGCCAATATTTACCTGGAGAAGGGGGACTTGATGCAACAGGGTTCCCCAACATCACTGCCCCTCACCCTCTCCTGATATGTGATGTTTACATAACTATGCTGTGATATCAAGAAATTAGCCTGTTATTACAGCATCAAAATCTGTAATAATACATAACTATTCATAACTTTACTTGGTACAAGTCTTACCTTCTATGATATCTGTCTACAGTATCTGTAGAAACTTGTCTGGTTAAAGCTAGTGGACTGGCCATAGGCAAGTGCATCACTTTACTAATTCCAAACAGCTTTTTTTATGTATTACACAAAACAAAATTACATGAAGACTGGTCCAGATGCCTTGTGTCTCCTGCCTACACACAAATTTCCTCTTAAAATTGTATCTCTCTCTGTGGAGACCAAAGTATATGTTCAGAGAGAGGTTTTGTTAGTTTTTTGAAAGCTCCTTACGTGACTCAGAGGCAAGAGTCCTGCTGACTTTCAATAAGATATCAAAATTATTTGGAAACTTTCAGAAACTCTTGCCTATATATGTTGTTGCCCTTACTGTTGCATAGTCGCCCTCCTACCCCACACTTAGGTCTGAGGTTTTAATCCTTGAAGTAAGATAATGAGTTCATCTGAGTAACTGCTCTTTTGTCCTAGTCATGATATCACATGTGACAAGGCTTTAGTTATAAAATAGTGAGGTGCACCTTCCATCAGTGCATAGATATATCATTGAATATTTTATTATTTTTACTGTCTGGAATGTGTACTTTACTCATGATTTGTATGCAAAGATAGAACTTAGTTCAGGAGATGATATTCAAACAAGTTCTGTGTTTTCTTGTTGTGTTCATATTTTATTTTGTAAACCAAACCAGGTTTATTTTATCTACTCTGCTATGACGTTAGGGAATAACACTTTCTCCAGTTCACAGCTGAGAAACTGAGGCCCCACGAGACCAAGGTAAAGGCATGGTCCTGTGAAAACAAAGGATGTAACAATGCCTGTCTGGCCCACATTCCCAAAACAATAATCTGTCCCATCATTTTCAGCACATGTTAAGAATGCTCCAGTGATATGTTTGAATTTTGACTGTAGTACCTTGAGTTGCTTTTGGGATAGAGAGAAGAGAAGAGAAGAGAAGAGAAGAGAAGAGAAGAGAAGAGAAGAGAAGAGAAGAGAAGAGAAGAGAAGAGAAGAGAAGAGAAGAGAAGAGAAGAGAAGAGAAGAGAGAAGAATGGTGCAAGTGGGGAAGAGGTGCATAATAACAAGGTGGGAGGGTGTTGCGGAAGAACAAAGATGAATGTCCTCCAGCCAGCAGCACTGAGACTTTCAAAAGTTCTCTGAGCACACAGCTTCATTCAAAGAGCTGTTGAGGAGACTTTATGAACAGACTCAATGAATCCAGAGCCAGGGCTGAGCACTATTCCAGTATCCCACTCCTACCTGTGCACTGGTCGTGTTGACTTTCTGCTCTGCCTACACAAACGTCCACATTGTGTGTTGATTCTGTGTGCCCTCAATCCTTGCAGTTACCATCTTATCTGATATTTCCAGAGCCTTTTTGTATCCCTCATGTAGGCTCTTTTCATACATGCAAACAGGGAAGCCCAGACAGAGATTTACTCCTGACTTTGCTGAAATGCAAAACTATAGTAAAGAAAGAGTCAGTCCTCAAACAGTCTTTGAATCACTCTTCAGAGGCATTATACATTGTGCACAGAACAGAGAAAATCAACTTACCTATTAGTGGAACTGAGTCAGAAGTTGCAGGCATGATCTCAGCCACAAGCAGCATGAATACAGTCAGGGACAACAGGACAGTGATACCTGCAGGGAGTGAACATGGAGGGGAAGGATGAGGAACATGAACTCTACAGCTGCTCCTCTGACGTCTTGGCTGTTAAATATAACTTTATCCAGAGCTATGGGTAAGTCAAACCCATGACTTTGTGTCTGTCAGTGCAGGTGAGAACTTCCACTAAGTGAGAGCATTTTTGTATGCAACTTTATTAGTTGTCTTTTCACTTTTTTCAGTTACACCCAAACCCTTGCTCCTCTTAAAGTAATGGAAAAATCTTTCCTGCCAAGTGAAATGAAGCTTGCAGAACCAGTAAACTACATTGCCTTTCCAAAACAGTGCAAACAAAGCCCAGATGGTTATTAAGAGCTAAGATAGACTCACACACACATGAGTCTAGTTTTTGGCTATTGTATATTATATGACACCCTTTAAAGAGCTGCAGTCTATTTTAAAAGTAGCTGTTTGTTCTATCTGAAAGGACTGTTGCTAAACCTAACCGGCCTGGTGCTGAGAAATCACAAGGTCAATGCATAAACGTTATCACCTCTTTTTGTGACAACATTATGCTTCAGCTCAAATAATTTGTTTCCTTCTTTCCATCCTATATTTAATAGACAGCAATTGTATCCCCCACAGCCTGTGTTTTACTTTTTGTGAGACAGTCTGTTCAGATCCCTGATTTTTCTATTAACACTGAGGGCACTTCATAAGATTTAAAGGTCCCTGTCCTGATCAGAACTGTGCACAATTAACTCTTAAGATCTTGCCCAGGCTGGTCTTGTGTATTTCCAGCGCTTCTCTGTTTTCCCTTGGAAGCACCCCCCTGTCTTTATCAACGCACACAACAGTAAATCTCATTTAGACCTTCCTTGGCTGTCACTGCTTTGTCCTCATGAGGGACTTCGTGTTTTGGGAGCTGAACTCATAAGGTGCTGCTGTGCACAACTCTTCACTCTCTGTGTCTTAGTATGCCCTGTCCGAAAAATAGAGTTAATCAGCTGTGAAATGCATTGAGATGTACTAAAGAACAGAACAACAAGGATGACAGATTACTATCACTGTTGCCTGTGTCAAGACATGTTCTGCCTCATCCCAGGGTAAAATCCAAAAGATTTTAGAGGTGTTTAGCACAGGATGTGTGAATGCCATACAGAAAGCTATTACCCTGGTTTCTGCAACCAAATGAGTGCTTCTATTGCTCCTCCAGGGAAATCTTTGTTCATCAAACACTGTGAGGTATTTATTTTTCATTTTATAGGAAATGCTTACAAAATAAATTAATTACTTAACACCTACCTAAAGAAATCTTCTCCCCTGAATCAGCTGGCAAAAGGAAAACAAGCAGTGCCAAGCCAGATATGAGAACACAGGGAATGAGTAGGTTCAAGCCATAGTAAAGGGTGCGTCGGCGCATGGTGATGGTGTATGTCACATCTGGGTATGGTTCTTTACAGCACTCATAGTACATTTCATTCCTTTTTCCTGGCACACCTACAGAGAGGGAAATAAGAGAGTGGGGAGAGGTGCAGGACACCTGTGTAATCCCTTGGAATGGGCCAAGCAGTTTATGAGCCAATGATGTGTGGCACCTCCACCACACATTGTGCACTGAAGAGTACTTTGAAGTGTCCTGTGGCAATTGATAAGGGGAGAAAAGACACCCCCAAATCAGTTACCAGGCAAAAGACATCTTCTAACACTTGTGGCCAGTGATGCATACATGGATGAATAGACTAAAGAGGACAAAGGACAACGTGCCTCAATTCAATGTTGTTTGAAAGCTGAAATACATCATTACAGGGTTAAACAAGCCAAGGTAACTCTTAATGTATCAGTGTCTTAAGCAATGCTGAGGCTACAGTGCAAGATGTTTGCTGTTCTTAGTCCACCTTCTGTGTTTTCCAGGGTTTAATTTCATGCTTTCTGAGTCATTAGAACCTGGCTTGTCTGAGAAAACTCATCTGGGTCAGATCAAAGCATCTCAACCTCAACAAGGAAAGATTTGCAAGCAGTGGCCAAAGATTAACTCAGTAAAACGTGCACTCAGCCTTCCTGCATCCAGGGAATGGTGACAATGTCTTTGTCACTAGCCCATACAGCAGTGTGTGACAAGTCCCAACAGTTCTTATTTTTCTGTCATTCTCTTGTACACATTTGCTTTGTTTTGTCATGAAAAACAAATATGATATGGCTTATTTTTCAAAAGAGTTGTCAAGTTAAGTTTAAAACCTATCATATCTGAAGGTTAAGAGACATAGTTATTCAATACAGCTGTACGGCAGGGTTGGCCATGGTGAACCAGCTGCAGTAGACTGTCTGAGATGCTGTATGGCAGGGACTGCAGCAGCACAGGGAATGTCAGGGGAGCTGAAAGAGTTTAGCACCTTGTATCTTTCATGCCACCATAGCTCACCTCTTTTTTGTTTTTATGCATATGACAGAAGATGTGACAATGCATACATTTTGGCAGAAGTGTGGCAAAGTCTCCATAAAGGTTTTGGCCATGGCTTGCCTTAGATGTTGTTTAACATTTTTGCTCTATGAACTAGTTAAGGGCCAGTTTTGTTCACCTCTGGTCAGAGTTGAAGGCAGATAAAACACAAATATGCAATGTTATTGAAATAACCACCATAGCTCTGAAATGGACAGACTTTAGGAGGACTTCCCTACAGAGTGCTTCAGCTTCTCCTGAAACTGAATACCAATTAAGTTTCTTATTGTATTATTTCTCAGAAGCCTTGAATGGTAAAACTACTGCACACAGTTGGCCAGTGACAGTTATTTCCTTGTCTCCATATCCAGACTAGATGAAATGTCCTGTCTGCAAGCTCTTAGAGTGATATAAGCTCTATCAATTTCGATACCACTGCTTCTGACTTATACCTACATAAATGGGTTCAAAATAACACACTAGGAGCTCATTCTGAATAAGTAATTCCAGGCATAGATTCTTCTTTTAAAAATACAAGTATCTTCCAAAGCACAGAAGGGAAGAGAGAGACATACTGAACTGCAGTTACCTGCAGTTATTATGAAATGATAGACACTCTCATGGTTTTCTGGGTGAGAGAGATTCATCTCTGTAAAAGGTCATTCCAGTTTTGCTGAAATAGTGGTTTTTATGCCAATCAATTTTTGGCTAATGTCTTAGAGTAAATGTAACAGCAGTGTTCTGAGCACCTACATGATACACATCCAAATTTAGTACTGAAAAACTGCTCAGATGCAATCATGACCAGCAGCTTTCATTTATGCACTCAGATGTAGGCAATTGCTTCAGACCAGTGTTTTCACACACAGTTCAATGAATGTGGCTGAATGGTTGTCTCTGATCTGTGATTTTTAAATTTTTTTATTTTCTGCCTAGAAACTTTTAATATCTGTATTTCATGTCCTGGTGGGATTGATCAATTCTATGTATTTAGGGTTTGCCTTTGAAAATTAGATTCCTGAAAATTATTAGGCCAACCAATTTACCCACTAAATCCCACTCTCCATTTGAGATGTAGTTGGAAATATCAGCCTCGAGCATCTGCAGGTCAATCAACCAGCCACTGTGAGTCCAGGAGCCAAACTTCAAATCACACTTCTGCACATCAAAGGGGAACCACCGGACATCAATGTAACATGTGCTCTTCAAAATGCCTGTGGATGGAAATCAGTCAGAATCAAGTGTGCACAGTGTGACATTGATCTCTACCCTTATCTGTCCGATTGATTGTGAGCAACTTGCTTCTCTGTGTGATATAGTTATGGGGTAACTAAACCAGGAGGGCAGGTGGAAGATGCTGCAATGAATGGAATAACCCCCCTTCCTGCAGCACCAGTGAAGATCCCTCTCTTTTCCACTGCATCCTTGAGGTAGGTTTCCCAGGACACCCTAGCCACCCAGGAGCAGTCCAGCCTATCTTGTAGTGCTGGCTGGCCCTGGCAGATCACAGGCAGTGGTGCAGGGCCTGACAGGAGCATAGAGTACATAGATGTCCATGCACTGTGGTTGGAAGTATTGTGACAGACTCTTTGAAAGGAGTTCATTGTCAGGTCCTGCATTAGACCAACAGTCCCTTGAAAATATATTGTTATGCTAAACCTTGCTTGGTGCTGGCCTTTATCTTCTTGTTAACCTGGGCCTTGAATTTTACTCTGGATGTGTCTAGTCCACTATCATTATTTTGTGTGATATTTTAAGCAGTTTAGGAGAATAATACTTGTATATTGTTGCAATCTAATTATTTCTTTTTTTTGTTTTGTTTTTTTTTGTTTTGTTTTTGTTATTTGGCTGAGAGAAGAAAAAAATCCTGATGAATGCTCCAAACTTTCTTCTTGGGGTCACAGCTGTGGCTGTAGGGCTTCCCCAGCTGTCCAGCAGCATGGAGGGTTTGGACAGCAGGGAAGATGATCTGTGCAGCCTGCATCACTGGCAGCTAATGGCAAAGCACAGAGGTCATCCATGCAAACTCTCACACCTGTGGCTCTGCAGCCTTCACCTTATGCCACTAGTTGACTGCATGTTGGCCAGCTCAGAGGCACTGTGTGAAAGAGATGCAGCTTCTGCTTCATTGGAAAACTATCTCCAAAGCTACACTTAGCCTAACAGTTTGCAGTAATGGTTTCTTTGTGCTCCCTAAAACAGCAGCTATTAAATCTCAGCTCTGAGTCACCTAACTGAATACAGTTTGATGTTTTGCACTAAGTGCTTGAGCTGTGCCTTTTGAAGATAAAATCCCCAAAACACAGATTTTTATTTATTGTCTTTACCTGCTGCTGCAAAGGCTGAGGGCGTTGTGGCATAACCATTCGTGCAAGACCATGTTCCTGCACAAACATTACTGCTCCAGGGTGGCTGGGTTCCCTTCCTTATTCCCTTTATGTTTTGGGAGGTCTGGCTCCCAGCGTCATGGCCATTTTTGGATAGGTTACATGGAGGCTTTTCTCCCATTTTCTCATGAATCTCGGCTCTGCTCCTTTCCGTAACAGCAAACAACTGTCTCCTTCTTGTTCTTTCTCTCTGCTACTCCATCTTGTTTAATGGGGAGCAACAGTGACTACAGAGTGCTCTCAGAGTCATGGGAAATAAAATTTTCATTAAGCTTTGAAAAACCATCTTTTCCACTCTTCCATGTTTTCCAGTGTCTTGATTAATTTAACTGCTTCTGTAAGCACTTGTTGCCAGTCAGTAAACTGATTATCAACTTTTCCCACCTAAAATTTTGCAAAGTAGTTTGGCAGCAGCTAAATGCCTGTAACAAAAGATCTCCTGTGCTTTACACAGCAGATTTCTGTTACTTGTTCTCTCTTTCCTCTTTCCTCAGGTTTTTAAGTAACCAATTCTTCACCATGGAGTACAATCTCACCAAGAGATGAGCAGAACACCCAATCTGCCCATATAGGCCCCCTGTGCATCACCTGTCTACCTGGAGGGATGGAGAAGGTTCTGCTCTGGTACATGCTAGTTTTATTCCTGTCTCATGTTGCTCCCTGGAGAGCAACCTTACCCATGGGTTTGTCCCAGCGAAACCACAGGGATGCTTTAAGGGCTCTCAGGCGTAGGGATCAACAGAGGACTAGCCATCAAGGAAGACCTATTTTTAACCTGGTAGGCCCTGTGGATGTGCTTGAGGTCAGTCTGACAGCAGCTATGACACAAAGTTTGGACATCTCTTGTCCACTACAGTGAGTGACTGCAGGGGTAGCCTGTGTATTTAATGATAGGTCCTGGCTGCTGGGCCCTACAAGCACTGAATCAGCAATGCAGGTGGAAAGCAGGCTAAGACTTGAGTCTGGCTAGCTGAGATCAGTCTCAGTTTGTCTTTTCACCTGGAGTTGTAGGCTCAGCCTGGCAGTGATGCCTTCATTGCAGAGGTAGTGCTGCTCTAGGGATCTCCTGTGGTCACATCCCTCTCCACTCTCAAGAAAGCTAGCTGGATTGCACATGAAACATGATGTGAGGGTGCAGACCAACTTGCTTTAGATAATACCTCAGCTGGGCCTCTGAATGTTCCAAGCAAACTGCTCAGGATAGTGATGCATTGATTTGTGAAGTGGAAATACACCACTAATGATGGACCTAAATTCTTTCAGTGGGTTTGTCCCATAATTACACACCTCGCAAAATTTCCACAGACAGCTTCTAAACAGCTTGGTTTTATTCATGAAGGAAAACTGCTTGTCGTTATTCAAAGCTAAACATTGACTTAAAGCAAACAAATGCTTTCTGTGCCCTACCTGGAGGAATATATTGGCAGGATCCAGAGTAATTCACCAGCACATTTGTGTGAAATGTCGCATCAAATCTTTCATCCGCACTATAACACAGGATAAACAAAACAAAATGAAGAAAAAGCAAGCTGATGTTTGAGTTAAGATGTAGTAACTGTCAAACTTTTGGCTTAATTTAATGCACAGAATGTCTGAATTAAGGTCCTACACCTGAGTGAAGAGTCTATCCTCAATCAGTATCTCAGCTTCTCATAGACACTGTTGACCTGCACCCAGGCATGTTGTTTGCTTCAAGCAATGGAAGAAGCCCACTGTAGGAGAAGACCAGGTTTGGGAG